GAAACTACACAGACATGTAAACTACCACACAGAAGGAAAACGGGGTCTGCCGGTCATCGCCTGGTCTTGCCATCTCGCTTAGATCCAGACATGAAAGCAAGGGAACCACCTGAGACACAGGACGCGGCAGATGCCACGTGGAGAAGGGCCAAGGGCTTAGGGCCGGGCCCAGCCAAGCCGTATTTCCAGCCAATGGAACTGCCCCAGCTAAGGCTCCAGACACCACGGGCAGATGACCTTCTACGTTGTCTAAATATCTGCAGGACAGAATCGTGAGCAATGAACACACACACAGTCATCCAGAGTCTCCAGGTGGTTTATAAAGGGCAGTGGAGAACCAGAATGACGGAAATCTCATCAGGGACCTGTGTGTCCAAAAGGTGAGTCCAACTCTGACCACAGTCCTAAAGTTAACAGTGTGACTCACGGAGCCGCTGCCAAGCAGGAATAATGCTCCAGTTCACGGACCTTGGGGAGCTCTGAAAAGAAATCTGAGCAATCTGATTAATTCTAAGAAGCTCTTCAAAACACTGAGGGACCGGCAGATTATTATGACTCACGCGTGAGTCTGCAATCGTGGTCTCCCTGACTCAGCCAGGTCACAGTACAAATATCACTTGTTCAGAAGTCTTCCAGTGGCCTTCTCGATGCCCCTCCCTGAACCCTGGGTGACCTCGTGCACCCGACCACACCAGCATGCCGCCTCTGGGCTGTGGGCTCCCTGCAGAAGGTGGAACATGTCTTATCCATCTTCTGAAAGAGAACGTGTCTGTGGAGTGGATGGAAGGATGAAGGAGAAACACGGACGGACAGGAGGAAAGGGAGGGGAAGGAAGGAAGGAAGACGAGACAGCCGCAGCAGCGGCAGTGGGGGGGGGGGACACACCGTTCAGGAAGAGAGACGCAGGCAGGGGAGCCACGTGACCACACAGCCAGTCCCAGTCTGCCGACCCTGAAACTGGGGCTGCCGGTTAATTCGAAAACATGACCAATGGAGGACTGCATTTTACTTGAAGACTTAAGTAAGGCAAAGAGAAAAGGAAGTGTTACGGAGCAATGTTTTAGTTTGAAGTAGTAACAGTGACAGGTACCACACGACCCTCGACACCCTGTAAAAACTAATGGTACAGAGAACGACAGGCAGTGGCCGCACACCCAGAAGGTCCCTGAGCAGACGGGGATCCAGGCAACCTGGCACCAGTGTGTGGACTCTAGTGCACCACACCACACACCACACAGCACCTGTGTGTGGACTCTAGTGCATCACACCACACACCACACAGCACCAGTGTTTGTGTGGACTCTAGTGCACCACACCACACACCACACAGCACCCGTGTGTGGACTCTTGTGCACCACACTACACACCACACAGCACCCGTGTGTGGACTCTCGTGCACCACACCACACACCACACAGCACCCGTGTGTGGACTCTAGTGCACCACACCACACAGCACACAGCACCCGTGTGTGGACTCTAGTGCACCACACCACACACCACACAGCACCTGTGTGTGGACTCATGTACCACACCACACCACACAGCACCCGTGTGTGGACTCTAGTGCACCACACCACACACCACACAGCACCAGTGTGTGGACTCTAGTGCACCACACCACACACCACACAGCACCAGTGTTTGTGTGGACTCTAGTGCACCACACCACACACCACACAGCACCCGTGTGTGGACTCTAGTGCACCACACCACACACCACACAGCACCCGTGTGTGGACTCTCGTGCACCACACCACACACCACACAGCACCCGTGTGTGGACTCTTGTGCACCACACTACACAGCACCAGTGTTTGGAATCTTGTGCATCACCCTGCACAACTAAGTTTTGAGTGCAAATGAGTTCTGCGGAGCTACTGCGCTGCTCCGATACAAAGGCCACAATTACGAAGACGGCCCACGTGCCCCGGATGGATGCCGTTACCTCTGTTCTTGGCATCTGTGACCAAAGTTTCTGACAACAATAATTCACAGGGTCACACATGTGAAGCTGCTTTCTAACACACCCACAAGAGCATCTGAAGCAGAAACCCAGAGGCCACACAGACTCCAGGTGACACAGCAGGTCCAGAAGCCAGAGCACGGGTCACTCTGAGGCGCAAGCAGCTCACAGAGCACTGAGCACAGAAGCCAGCTGTCAAGAGTGGACAGTGCAAAGACACAAGCAGACAACAGGCGATGCGCTCCGAAGAGCTCGTGCTCCTACAGTGTCAGTGACTCTTCCGTTTGTGTTCCTAAGCGTCACAACCAATATTAATCCTCTGCAGCAGGAGAGAAGTTGCGAAGGATTCCCAGGTTCCTGGGCAGGGATGGGGCAGCTGCGACTCCAAAGGCCCAAGAGGATCAGCTGCTTCATTTGAAGCAGCTACAGAAGACACGTAGGAGACCAGGACCCCTTCCATCCCTGAAACTTGGCGATTCTATGAAACGTAATTCTAGGCAGCTGAGGAGGAAAAGTGGCAGGCTCTCTTTTCCAGCATTTTCTACCCAGCAGGACAGGAGCGGGGAGCAGTCACATAAACCCAACGGGTGCCTTTGGTTACACTCACTCTCTGTCTCACGTCTGGAGATAAGGAGGTCCAAACTGATTCCATGGGAATTAGTGGCAAAATCGGGCCTTCTGCTGGGAATCCCCAAGTCTCAGTTTCCTAGTGTGTAAAATGGGGAGCTGATGCTCCCCACGCCTGTGCTGAGGAGCAGGGCCCAACACGCAATGAACGAGGACAGACTACGGACAGCTGTGCCACCAGCACGCAAACGCGGACTCAGCGGCGGCTGCCCCTTCTCTGACCCTGTTTGAGGTCAGAAACCTCAATGGCATGGGAGAGATTTCTCCGAGACAATGGACAGAGACGGACACACTCCAGGTCACGAATCTGAACACCAAGTTTTAACCTTAAGACATGAAGTTTAAACTTTAACACAAACTCTAACGCATCGGTTTCTAAACTGTAGCTACAGCAAACGTTCCACTGTAATAAAACATCTTAAAAGAAAGTTTAAAATTAACTATTGGTAAGGAAATCATTGAGCGGGGAGTGGCACATATTTAATCCCAGCCCTTGGAGGCAGAGAGGAGAGCTGAGTGAGGAAAAGAAAAAGCTGGCTAAGGACAGGGAGAGAAGAAATTACCTAGAGGTCAACGGGGTGAAACCCTCGGCCAAGGTGAAAAGGGACCCACATCCTAGGCAACACTACAGGTTGTAGGATCCAACTTGAGAAAAGTGGTTTGCTGAACCGAACAGAAAACTCTACAGCCCCAAGGCTTCAGTGGCTGAGCTGGTAGGCCGTATGCAGAACACAATAAGACCGCGTCTTGGCGTAGTTCTGCTCACCCACTTTGAGAAAGGGCAGTTAGGATGAGCTGAGGAAGGAAGAGGACAAAGAGCCATGTTGTCAGCTTCTAGGAACAGGACATAACTGGGCCCTGAGATCCTACATAAAGAGGAAGGGAAAGAATAGGTTCCTTCAGTGGATCCCAGATCTGGGGTTCCATCTAGGTTTCCTCCATGGTCTCAGATATGGGATACTGTGGCGATATATTGTGTCTCTTAACATACTGTGTACCTTAATAAGAGTTATCTGGGGTCAGAGAACAGAACAGCCACTAGATTAGACATAGAGACCAGACAGTGGTGGCACACACCCTTAATCCTAGCATTCTGGAGGCAGAGATCCATTCAGATCTGTGAGTTCAAGGCCACACTAGGAACACAGCCAGGCATGGTGGCACACGCCTTTAATCTCATGCCTTTGCTTGGGAAGGACACACGCCTTTAATCTCAGGAAGTGATGGTAGGAAGCAGAAAGGTATATTATAAGGCATGAGGACCAGGAACTAGTCTTTTAAACTTTTAGGCAGTTCAGCTGAGATCCCTTCCAGATGAGGACTCAGAGGCTTTCAGTCTGAGGATTCATGGAAACAGGTTCAGCTGAGGAATTGGCGAGGCGAGGCTGGCTGTGGCTTGTTCTGCTTCTCTGATCTCTCAGCGTTCACCCCAGTACCTGGCTCTGGTTTTTTATTAATAAGACCTTTTAGGATTTGTCTCACAGGGTAACATTCAGTTTCCTGTGTGGTTCCCGAATCTGGGGTGCCATCTGGGTTGCCTCTGTGGCTTCTGGATTTGAGGGTCCCATCCAGCAGCTGCTTAGCAAGCGCTGTGGTCTGAAGGAAAATGACTCCCATAGAGAGTGGCACTACTAGAAGGTGAGGTGCTGCTGGAGTGGGTGTGGTCTTCCTGGAGGAAGTGTGTCACTGTGGGGGTGGGCTTTGAGGTCTCATGTTCAAGCTGTACCCAGTATCTCAGTTCACTTCCTGCTGCCTGCGGATCGGGATGTAGCACTCTCAGCTCCTTCTCCAGTAGCACCATGTCTGCCTGCATGCCACCATGTCCCACCGCGATAATGGACTGAACCTCTGAAACTGTAAGCCACCCCAATTAAAGGTTTTCCTCTGTAAGTGTTGTCTTCTCACAGCCATAGAAACCCTAACTAAGACAGCAAGCAAGAGCCCTACATGCTGTCACTGGCAGAAGACAGAGGCTTTGGCTAGTCCCAGAATTCAGGGAACCACAGGCTCGCTGTCTCCTCCCAAACGCCCCGTATACCACTGCTGGAGAGAAGAACTTGAAAACCCCAAACAGGAGATAAAGGAGTGAGTGCAGGCCATCGGTGCAGACTCCAGCCACGCTGGGTTTGCAGGCTGGAAAACACCTAGCCTCCTTCACAGCCTCAGAAGGCCCGTGTCACTGGCTGCCACCACAACCCAGGACAGAGCTTCCTCGACTGGCTCCTCACCCGTCCCTCCACTGGTAACAGTTCAAACCAACAAACCCCACAGCCAACACTGGGGTAAAATGTCAAACAAAGGAGTCGTTAACACTGCCGAACAGACTGGTCAATCGATGCCGTCACATAAAGGTGATGCCCTGCCCCTCACACGCCCTCTCACAAGCACCTCTAAGTCCCAGGCTTCACCTTTCAAATTTGCCCGGCTGGCCGGCCTCCCTACGCTGTTCCTCTGGTGCTTGGTCGACAGGCGTTTCATCTGCCGTGGCGTGCTTGGGGGCGAGGTGCTGTAGAGGTTTTCTGCGTTCGCTTCATCGGAAAAGTCCTCTGGGTCAGATTCCGGACTCTTGCAAGCCGACTCTCCCAACATGCACTCCGGCCTACGAGAAGATAAAGAGCAAGTGCGCTGGTTAGTAACATGGGAACTGCAATCACTGCTTCCTCTGAGAACGCTGCAGACGCCCCCACCTGCATTTCCTCAGCATCGCAATCCTTCAGTTTCCACGGTGGAAACTGCACTGCCCACTCCAAGGAAGCAGAGACAGCGGGTGTGGCCACACCTAACCATGCACTCTCAGGTGCAGCGCGGGCACAATCATCACAATCATCAGTGTGCCGTTTCTGAAGCCTCTGGGGCTCTTTCTAGCTGACTGGGCTTCAAACTAAAAACTACAAATTAAAGAGAAAACAGCAGAAGACTAGAAGTTACAAATCAGACCGAGCTAAAAATAGACCTGGGCACCAACTCTGGCACGCAGACAATGAGGGGCGAGCACCGTCCCGCCCTGGACTCCAGGGCCGCAGCCGACTCTTCCCGAAGGGACAGGCAGCATTTCCCGTGGCACAGGGCAGCATCCAGAAAACACTGCATACCCACCTACCGCACTGAACCGCCTAGAGAGTTACGACAGTAAACCTTGTTATCCACGATCCATGTTGTAATTTGTCAAAAATGTTGTATGAAATTCCCAAAGGATAAAAATACAGTTAAAAAGTCTCAGACAAAAAGAAATAAAAGGGAGGGATGGGGTAAAGGACAAATCTCAGCAGAAAGGAGGAATTCCTTTCTCTTCCCTGAAGGATGCAATGCTTCCACGACTTGTTTTCTGAAAATATTGCCTGCCATCCTCTAGCCAGACAATTCTCAAACAATATCACTATCTTGATAAATTTCCTTTTTCTGTGAGACTCACACAGTAAAATCCAGTTACATCAAGCGAGAGAAAATCTAATTCTAAAACCTTAAAACAGGAGTAACAGCAACTAACGTTTCCCATATATACATCACAACAGCCCATCTTATTCTGAACACTGTTTATAAAATAAATTTTATATATACCTAAAACACAACTCCAAAACTGTATCCAATGCAGTGCTCTTTCTGGCACCTTTTGTCACAATATACAATCAATGCTAATCCAAACTCACAAGGAAATGAGAAAAACAAAACGAAACACTCAAGATGTGTGGCCTCATCATTATTAAAGTAGCAAAATCAAAACAAAAGCTATCTTCTGAAAAGTAGGAATTTGGGGTTCGGGGGATGGCTCAGCAGGTAAAGTGCCTGCTGCACAAACAAGAGGACCCCGGTTCAGAGCCCCAGCACCCACGAGGAAAGTCTGGCACGGTGGCACATGCCTGTAGTCCCAGCATGGGAGAAGCCGGTGGATGGGGGGGAGTCACTGGGCAGGTGGGCTGGCAGAAATGATGAGCCCCAGGGTCAGTGAGAGAGCCTGTCTCAAAAACTAAAGTAAAAAGCAACCAAGGAAGAAGATATCATGTCAACTTGTCTCTGTAAACATGCTCATGTGCTAGCAGGTGTGTACATGTATGCGCGCGCGCACACACACACACACACACACACACACACACACACACACCCCACAGAAGTTCTACAGAACTACACAGTGTGCCAGATGGTGGTTATCATCTGGAGTCCCAGCTCTGGGAGGCAGAGGCACACAGATCTAAGTTCAAGGCCAGCCCAGGTTTCACAGAGAGCTCATGTCAAATCAAAGGGGTGGTGGGCTGAGATGGCTCGGCAGTTAAGAGCACTTGTTCTGGCCAAGGATCTAGATTCAATTTCCAAAACCCACATGGTGACTTACAAGCATCCCTAACTCCGGTTCCAGGGGATCTGATGCCTTCCTCTGACCTCTCAGGCACTAGACACTCACATGGTATATATACATCCATGCAGGCAAAACATTCATACACATAATTTTTTTTAAAAAACTACACAAATTTCCAGTAATGAAATTTATTTTTTAATTCCATGAGTGGCCAGCTTGGATGCTTCCTGAGTGACTTGTGACATGCCTTCTTTTTCTTTTACTTTCCATGGAGTGGGACACTCAGGTAGTGGAAGGGTCCTCCTCCCCTCTTGGGCCCTTGGAGCCGGGGTGACGGCATGATCCATCCCCTTCCGGCGGCCAGCATGGCTGCAACAGGAGAGGTTCATGTTGTTCCTGCACTGCCACACAGCACTCAGACACAGCGCTCCTCGCCTGGGACCTGTCTAGGTCCCTCTAGCTGTGGCCTTCTCCAGAGTCACCATGTCATTTTGGAAGGGCCCTTTCTGGTTGTCACACGGAAGGGTCTCTCAAAGGCATCACATACAACCTCTGCTTCTGTAATTTCTGTGGGGGTCACATCAGTTCCCATCCATACTCCACCCATGCTGCTGGCTGCCGTAAGGGGTCACACTTATGCCTTTCCTGTGATAAAATGGTGTGCTGTCTCTTAACAACAAAGGCCAGAATAAATGTGACTGAGATGGATGCTCATGATGTACTTCTACCAAAAAAAAACGATTGCAGAGCTGAAAGAGAAGATAAAGTTCATGCATACTCAATTAAACTCACTGGTGAGAATTCTGAAGGAAATGACTCCTGATCAATCTAACCAAGAAACTGAAGCAGCAAGGGATTAGAAACAGTAACCACAGCCATGGAGAGGACTAAATGAATTAAAGAATACATCTGACCCAAACAAACTGTTACCCCACTGCAGAAAAAAAAAAAAAAATGAAATTGAATGCTATCCTATGGAAATTAATCCCAGGTGGTATAAAGATGTACATGTCAAATGTGAAAATAGAAAGCTTCTAAACAGAACCCCCTTGTCTCATTAGATAGAAAATCCTCATTATCTCATAGAAGAAAATTTCTTAAGGTAAGCATTCATCAACTGAAGAAGACATCAGTACTTTAAGACAACAGAGTCAGACACTGGGCCAAAGCAGAAGATGTGGACAGGCCAGCAGAGCTCTCACTGGTGAAGACTAGTCCAGCCCTCCATGTCTGTGTCCCTTACATGGGTTTCTGTTAAACTAAACCAATCAACGTTTCATGTCATTTTGGTATCTAATGGGGAAGAAAATAAACCGTAAGCACTTAAACAGAAGGTCTAATGTAATAGACAATGTGCTTAGCACACAGTGCTCAATGAAAACCAGCTGTTGCCATGGACACAGTGGTACATACTTGTAATACTAACTTAGTACTGGAGGCTGAGGCAGAAGGCAAGCCTGAAACTACAGAGTGGGATCTGTCTGTCTTATGCTAGCCGAAGGAGCCTGATATTTCATATTTAAGACTCTTAGCTGACTCAGGAGGATACATCAAGAATCTGTAACATCTGCCTTTGCTCACGTACACTCTAAGATGTTCGCACACTGTCACGGAAGGGGTAGGACCATGAGGGCCTTCATTCCCTGAGGCTCCGTGTGACGACGACTGATGAGGCTAAAAGAGACATCTTCAGTGGTGTGGCCACCGGTGGGATGCCACGCTCCCATAGGCTGTATCCACCGGTGGATGCCACGCTCCCATAGGTTGTACCCACCGGTGGGATGCCCACGCTCACATAGGTTGTATCCACCGGTGGGATGCCCACGCTCACATAGGTTGTATCCACCGGTGGGATGCCCACGCTCACATAGGTTGTATCCACCGGTGGGATGCCACGCTCCCATAGGTTGTACCCACCGGTGGGATGCCCACGCTCCCATAGGTTGTACCCACCGGTGGGATGCCACGCTCCCATAGGTTGTACCCACTGGTGGGATGCCACGCTCCCATAGGTTGTACCCACTGGTGGGATGCCACGCTCACATAGGTTGTAGTCACCAGTGGGATGCCACGCTCCCATAGGTTGTATCCACCGGTGGGATGCCACACTCCCATAGGTAACCCTATGAATGAAACTCCCTGGGTCACACAAAAGACATGAAAGCCAAGGAGGGGCTGTGGGAAAAAGGAAACTATCAGGAGGCCAGGGGCTGGGGAACGGGATGTGCATGGGATCAAGATACAGCAATGTGTACGAAAATGTCAACATTGTAATTAATATATGCTAGTATAAACTTTTTAAAAGATTAATAAATTCCATCAGCAAGTAAAAATTGATTTCTGAAGTCACTGTACTTTTACCAGACCACTCTAGGTCTTTCATGAAAATGCCTACAGAGTCCCAAACACAATAGTGCCCCGGACTATAGTCAAATTTAGCAATAAGTTTCTAAGGTACCTACCTAGTCACTAGGCTATCACTTAAGTCTCCTAAAGTAATAAAACAAATAGTTTCACTTATGTATTAACTTGAAAACTTTTACTTCCACTCTTGTGTTCACTGTAAAATAGCTGATTTGGGTGGTTAAAGGTCACGGCTACATAGCCCAAGGTAATTTCTTTCTTGTCCACACTTCAGTGGTTAATAGCAACGGTTCTGGGATGTCACAGCAGCTCAATGGTACGGAGGTGGCCACCCAGTATGCACAAGGTTCTGGGTTCAATCCCAACTACGAAAACACCACTGAGTGAGGTAATCCAGACCCAGAAAAAAAAATGTTTTCATCCATTAACAGGTGTTAGTTTTGAATATTTAGATCTATGTATCTCATCTGCAATACCCACAGAGGTCAGGAATTAGCAATCACGGAGAGAGGAGGGAATCACAGAAGGGAAGACAGATCACAGCGCCATAAGGAGGAGAGAGAATAATGGAACAGGGAGTGTTAGGGTGAAGACAGGAGGCAAAAGCAGAAGGGACACTAGGGAAAACTAACACCAGAGCCCTTCTGAACGGTCCTACGAAAACCACGACTGCAGAAGCTTCCTAAAATATCAACAGTTACAACCTCAAAAGAACTTAGATGCAGTCGCCCTGTATGGAGCAACAATGCCCTACTAGACAGCAGCACACTACAGGCTAACAGACAGAAAGGCCAATGTCAAGAATGGGCTACCACTACTGGGGCTGTTGGCCAGTGAGGTCCCACAGACCCCCAAACATCAGAGACTACTGCCAGTACTCTTGGTTACCTTCCAAAACTTGATAGTAAGACTCTATTGCTGAAATCACCAAATCCTTGAGTCAT